GGTTTTAAATTTTTAAGATCTATGTGTGTTCTGCAAAATATTAAGTTGTTGGGCTTCAGGCTATTTGTATAAAAGTTTTATGTAAATAAAGATTATTTATTACAGGATTATATTTTTTTTATTTAACAACTAGCTGTCGCCCACGACTCCGTCCGCGTGGATATATAAAAAAAAACTTAAACAGTGTAGCCCACCCATTCATCCATCCACATCACATCCATCATACTCATACTCAATATGCTCACAAAATTTCATGAGAATCGGTCAAGCCGTTTCCGAGGAGTATGGGAACGAAAATTGTGACACGAGAATTATATAAGATAATGTGGCGAGTTCCGCTATCACAAAAAAAAAAACAAATGGAAAAAAAAAATATTTTTTATATTTTAATTTTTGAACTTAAAAATGAATTAAAGCTTAATAACTATTTCACATAAAGGCACATAATTGTAAATACAAGTCTTTCAAAAATGGATTTAAAATTATTGGAAAATAATTAGGTAAGGAGCATTATTAAGAAAAAACTGACACAAAGTTCTGCTTGTGATACATGAATGTGTACAATTTAAGATGTATATAATCACACTTGCCTTGTGTTAGGATCAGCAGAGACGTATGTGCGTGTGGCTGACCACTGTCACCTTCCCCTCGTCCTGCAGGTCGCGGAGTGCCTCATCCAGTTGCTCACGAGACACCATCTGAAAACACATTATTTTATGGTTATAAAAAAATTGACTTATTAAATAAAATGTAATTTAAAAAAAACACATAATATAGCTTTTGCAAGCGACTTCGTCTGCTCGGAAGTCAAACAAAATAAATATGACCTTAATAAGTGGCCAATATATTCTTTTACACTACATTTATAATATTAGGAAGTTATTGGTATAGGTAATTAAAATGAATGTATGTATGGATGGATATATAATATTAGTAAGATTAAAAATAGCAGTTAACTAACAAGTTGTGAGGCAGCATTAACATCTTGCAGCAGTTTAGCATGTGTGATGGTGTGAGGTTTGGAGTATGGCTTGATGAGTTCCCGCAGCGCAGCCACGAGGTCAGCTCGCCGGCGCCGCGCCGCCGCACCCAGCCCTGTCGTCAGGATGCCCACGTCGATACGACCTGATGCAGGGTCTGTTGCTGATTGCTTTAGAGCTTCGCGATGCAATCTGGATTCGATGAAACAGTATAAAATATCAGATTATAGTGTATTAACTTTTGCCCACGTCTTCGTCTGCTCGGAATAAAAAAAATAGTAATAAATATTGTCCTTGTATTTAGTTACAATGATGGTTGCTTTTTTTTAATAGAATGGAATTAATTCTTAATTCTTTGACATATGTAAGACACAATATTTGTATTAGTGAATATTCGATGTGAATTCAACTTTAAAAAAATCGTTTAAATTGCTATTTAAAAACTTACCTAGCGGCTTCATCTACGTCAATAATTTCAACAATAGGCGAGAGTCTGACGCGCGCGTGCGCCTCCGCGAGCCGGATGAGGGACTCCAGCTGTCGCGGGTAGGCGGAGATCTGACCGCGGCCGCTGCCCACACGTCTGTTACAACAAATTTAAGTTAGCCACTGCGATTGGGTTTGTCTGTGGATATAGTTTCGCCATTTCGGCGAACTTAGGTGGCAAAAATCGCGACAACTGTTGTATTGTTTAGGTCATACCAATAAACCACATCACAGAAGATTTAATTAGTATTCGGAATGAATGATAAATGTCAGAGGTCTAGTTTTAGATCTATTCTATCTTTGCCAAAATTATTTAAAAATACTTTTAAATACTATTAGGCCAATTATCTGTTTTTTTTTAATTAACTATCGTACCTCATATCGACGTATGCGTCAATAAGTCGCTGCTGCGCTGGCTCACTGAGTACGGGCTGTACGTACTCCTTGGCGTACGCTATGAAGTCGCGCATCACGCCCGTGCTCTGCAACATATACACTAACTGTGGGTTTCTCAGATTATAATCTCTGTATAAAACATATATCATCTTTGACAAAACAGAGATAAAAAAAATATTTGAAACGGGGATTTTGGCCCCAGAAACCTAAGGAAAATTATCTTATCTGTACATAAAAGTTAGTCACATTTTTATGTACAGTCAGCTGCATTAAAATGTATACATTTATAAAGTTCGAGAAGCTTGTATACGTCTAATACTCGTATAATATAGTATAATAGCATGTATTCATCGAACGACGATGAATACATACTATAATTAAAAATATGGTTTTGGTCTATATTAGAACAGAAATGTATACAAGTTTCTTTGCAAATGTATACATATTTATGGAGCTGATTGTACAATAAGTATGTAAACTTATGTATATTGTAACTTACAATGTTTTCCTCGTCTTCCTGTGCGTCGGCGGGATCCTTGTAGTAAAGAGAGACGAGATGCGCAGCCAGCCGGCGGTCAAACACCTCGTCCTGCGGGTCCAGTACTAGGAAGATCAAGTCGAATCTGGAAACAAACACACATAACGTTAAAAAAAACAATATTTTTTTTTATTATGAGATAAACGAAATTAGGAAATTAACGCTATTTACTTTTTTAATAAAATAAATTTTACCGAAGACACTTTTAAGTATAAAATACAACGATAAAAGCATGAATTATTCTAGTGTTTTTTTTAATTCTAAATTAGATTTCTAGATTATTTATATACCTTGACATAAGTGTATGCGGTAGTTGTACATTTTCAACGATAGTTTTGTTCTTATTCCACTGCGACTCCGCGGGATTGGCGGCCGCTAGTATGGAGGTGCGAGCGTTCAGTTGACAGATGATACCCGCTTTTGCTATCGATAGAGTCTGCTGCTCCATCACCTGGAAATTATTTCAATTGCAATCAAGTAAACGCTATAAAAAATTAAATTGGTATATTTATTCTTTGTCCTTAACCTAAGTTGTTCTTACAAAGGAGGTTTGTGCTTTGAGAAATTTAAAAATAAAGATTTTGTTACATTTAGGGTCTTCGTAAACAATGAAACGTAAATCTTCGATACTATTATTGTTAACTTGCGTCGCGTACCGTGAATCGTCGACGCGAGTCGTAATACGTAAGTCACTTAGCGAATATATTAAAACCCGGTTTCGAAGATTTACACCGTTTTTTTAGTTAAGATTTTTAATGTTATTGATGTAAATACTAACTTCGTGCAATACACTGCGCGTTGAGTCGTTCATTTTGTCAAATTCGTCGATGCAGCAAATACCGTTGTCGGCCAACACTAGCGCTCCACTGAAATACAAAGTAAATAGTTAAATTACAGAATGATTTAACCATGTTTCTCTCTGTTTTTCATAACCCAAATTCGTATACAATTATCGTTTCTTTTTTTAATTATTACGTGTAAGAAGTGTTCCAATATCGTCTAATGAAAGACCATAATTTCTGCCTATCCCTCTGGGTCAATGGATTGTTATTTTTATTTCATTAATGATACTAGTGGTCGCCCGCGAGTTCGTTCGCGTGGAAGGAAAAAAAACATAATTAGTAGCCTATATGTTGTTCTAGACTATGTTCTATGCCATGTATGCCAAATTTCATCGAGATCCATTCAACCATTCTGGAGATATCTTCAAACAAACATCCATCCATCCAAACATTCGCATTTATAATATTAGTAAGATTAGGGCATACGTCTGCAGCACCAGCTGTCTTGTGTCGGGATCCTTGGAGACGTATGCTGTGAGGCCGACAGCGGAGGAGCCGCGGCCGGAAGTGTACTGCGCGCGCGGCACCAGCCCGTGCACCCAGCGCAGCAGTTGCGACTTGCTCGTGCCAGGATCACCGCACAGCAGTATGTTGATTTCTGACCTAATTAGAAATTTTTTCCCTATATTCTTATATGTTATAAGGCAGACTTCTTGTACAGTAGATGGCGCTGTGTACTATCAGAGAATCTGCGGTATTGCACTTTAAAAGCGACAGCCGTTTCACGTTTCCTAAACTGTAGACGACGACGCGGAAACAATAAGCTATAGGACACAACTCTTAAATGTGTCCTTACGAAAAAAGTCGATCACTGCTACCTTATTGTATCATTGGACGAACAAGGCAGTTTTTAGTAAGTAGAACACCGCGAAAAGCCCTGACTGTACTTTTACACTGCTCGCCAACGATAGAACTCTATGTGTACAAATAAAAGGTTATCACCTAAAGTGTGTGCGTCCCGCCGCGTTGAAATTCTTTTTAGTGCCGCCGAGCAGCTGCAGCAGCACGCCCTTCTTGATGTCCAGGTTCTCGTAGATGGAGGGTGCGATGGCGCGTGCCAGCCGCTCGTAGCAGTCCGCCTGCCGCGACAACGCTTGCAGCATCTCTACACGCTCCGCTGGGAAACGGTTCTCCTGGGTACTGCATAGTTAGAAATAATTGTAATTTTCAAACTTAATAATCGATTTACTTATGGGAAAGAGCACAAGTTTGATTGAGATTCGCCTCATGAGTAATAACTCATGACTTGATTTTGAAAATTAATCCACTAATCAGCCTATTTAAGTAATATTTACTTATTTCCAAAAATCGATAGGCGATTGCTTGGAAATTACATCTTTTGTTTCGTTCCGATTTAAACGCGCTTGTTGATGTTACGGTATAGTTAATTCTATCTATATTAGTTAGAATCCACACCAACGCTACAAACTGCTACCATCAACGCCAATATGACGAAAATCAAATAGGCACAAAATGTTCAGATGTACTGGGACAGCATACTTGTCATCAGTGTGCAGCATCCTGTCACTGCAGATGGGGCGGTAGTGCAGCGCGTCTATGTGAGTGCGGTGCAGCGCGCGCAGTGTGGAGCGGCGCGGATGTGCGGCTGCGGGTGCGGCGCGCACCACGCCCGTCACACGCACGCGCTCCCCCGCACCCACAGCCTCCACCAGCGCACCGTGAGACATCACCGCCACAGTCGCCGGTGTGCGCCCAGCTGGCATGTCGTCTGTACACATATACATATACAATTTTGGTATTTTTGTCGCTTGTGTATTCCTAAACGACTAAACAATTTTTTTGTATTAAAAATCGGTACAATATTCTGATGATTTTGTGTTCTAAACATGTGAAATCTCAGTATTAAACTCAACCAGAGATAATTATTGTTATAAAAAATTATATTTACATACATTTTGGTCACTTAAGTTTGTAATTTGAAAAATATTTAAGACCACACAAAATTATATTATGCGGACACCTAAAATTAAGAGCGACCAAGATATTTGAAAACAACTATACCTGGAGCTTCCTGTAGCTTGACGAGTTGTTTATCACTGAAGTGTGAGCGGTTGTGTATTAACTGGAAGGCGTGGGCGGTGTTGCAGTGCTGGCAGTGTGCGGGCTCGGCGACACGGCCGCGCTCCAGCTCGCCCGCTGCGCCCGCGCCGCACACCGCACAACGGAAGTACGCCTCGCGCATCTCCGGCACTATGCCAGATGTACGGATCACCATGCCACTTATTGTTACCAGCTGGTCTATGTCTGCAACATATTTTTTTTTTAATTATTTAGTACAATTATATATACATATTTGTTGTTATCAAACTTTTTGGGGTCAAGAAAATTATTACGCTTTTAAATCAGTGATCAAGGTCTTCGTTGTTATATGGTTGTATAAACAAAGCTTCCTTTCAAAAACTTGATACTAGCTGTCGTTCATGACTCCGTCCGCTCGATATTAGAAAACCTTAATTAGTAGCCTATGTATTCTTACGGTTAGTCAGATTAATAATACCCTGTACACAGACTCCATGATGATGAGTGTTTAATACAAACCTTCAGGGTTGAGATCCCTCATATGTCTCTGCGGTGCATTGTAAGGTCGGACTTGTATCTGATGTTCCAATATAGCCGCTGGATATTTTTCAAAGAACAATTGGTTAACCGCTGCATCAAAAGCTGGAACAACCTGTCAACGATATATAAATTTAATTATTTCCTTACTAGCGGTCGCCTGCGACTCCGTCCGCGCAGATTATATGAAACATGGTTAGTAGTCTATGTGTTCTTCCAGATTACGTTCTATATCTATACTAAATATTATCGAAATCCGTTCAGCTATCTGAAGATACCTTCAAACGAACATCCATCCATCTAAACTTTCGCATTTATAATATTAGTAAGGTATAGTAAAATTTATTTTGTCCTATATACCACATTGTAAACAGCTTTGTAATTATATGTATGGTGTCACTATATTATTGTTAGTAAATAAAATAGTAAATATATATATATATATATTTTTGAACTTCGTAAATATATAATAACAGTGAGTTACCCATTTATTTTAACTTACCTCTTGAGGATAGCAAACAAGTTGACGATGGAGTTTGGCATCAAATATTTTGACATGTTCACAATCGACATCCAAAAATGGCTCTTCCAAAGTGTGTATCTTAAAAAAAGAAATTGATATATCAATCAACTTTTAACAAACATCCAAACATTCACATTTATAAGTAACAATGTAAATCAATATTCTAAAATATATAAGAAAATATTTGTTATTAATTGTGTAGGATGCAGAAGGCAGAGAAATACATACTGTGGAAGGTATTTAGGAAGTTCTATGTCTAGGCTGATGATATTGTTAAAAAAAATGCTTTATCACATAGTATTATAATAGTGAAAGATTTTTTTTTAATTGGTTTTAGTTTTTAAGTTTATTTACATACAAATCACAAACAGTGACTAGTCTATCAGTGTAGTTTATTTTAAAAATAAAACAATAACAATAAAGCAAAGCTGAGTGAAACCTTATCATCATTACAACACTCTTTTGAAATAATTCCTTTTTCTTATTCATTATGTTTTTATGTCTTTATAATTATTTTGTGATGTTTTTGCTAATTGTGTGAAAGGATAAAATATTTCTTTTTAACACACTCTCTGCTAACCGGTCAATACTGACCGTCAGTGAAGTTTTCCTTTAGGCCTATTAAAATTTTTAATCTGTATAAAATTACTAAATCGTTTGCCTGTAAGAAGTGAAAACTCTCGTAAAATGCGGTCATAACGCTAACTTATGCTGCTTGAACTGAAAGTCTATATGTCAACAATCGCTGACCAACACTGCCCGGACAGGAAACTGCGATTTTTTTCTCGGCATAAAATGTGTTAAAGTTAACTGTGATAAATACTTAATTACCTCTTCCAACTTAGTTTCATACAATGGTTCATTAGTAACAGCATCAGGTTCAACAAACCGTTGCACAAACTTTATGAATTTGTCTCTGCACTCAGCGATGGCCACATCTGTACCCCATACCACTAGTTGCGGCTCCCCTGAGTCAACATCACCTGTTTCACCTGGCTGGAATGTCACAATTAATTCAATTTTCATGGAATAGAAATGAAATTAATTTTTATAAAATTCACTTTAAAAATAAATGTATAAAGTCGAACCTGGATAAACGAAAATCTAATTGACCAGTTTTTTTTCGCTTATAGAAATTTCTCTCTTACCCATGTATCCAGTTTTGGCTCATCCAGGTTTGACTGTATTACCACTCATAGTTACCTTAATATTCCTTTATTCTAGATGAAAAGTAAAAAAAATCCCTAATAAACAATTCTCTTCTAAAAACAATACATAATCTTTCTATGAAATTTAAGGTGATCAATGTATTTAACAATTAAGTTGTCTCTTTCAGATCTAAAGGTTTTTATCTTACTCTCTTAGTTGGTGTTGGCGCTGGCACATTTCTTCCGAACTGATGCCCTCGTAAGTCCGCCCTCTGTCTTGCGGGAGTACCAACACTGCGCAATATGGAGCGTGGTGTACTGAGAGAACTTGGTGTGCCATAATTCAATGGAGAGCTCATGTCTATGTCTGTCCCTGTTGATAAAACAACGAAAATAACTTTTTATAACATGTTATTTGAGTTTTGCATAATAATCTGACCTACATGTCTAATACTTAAAGCCTAGTAAGCGTTTTATACTAAAATCAAATTAAAACATAATATCAGTACGAAATAATTGTGAATCTGCAGTTTTAATTTAGGTAATAGGCATAAATGTTTTAGGTATAATTTAGAGATAAAGCAATAGTCTGTTGTAAACATTATACAAAGATGTTAATCTAAGTACATAAAAGTATATATAGACAAAAAAAGATTTGAAATCAATAATTTTCTTGGAAAGAAATAATGTATTTTTATAATGCATCTACAACCAAGCAGTGTTCAATTTGTGTTTATCCGAGATATGGAACTTAACAGAGTCATGCAGATGACAAAAATTGTTGGTATTCACTTCAGGTAATCTTTCTTAAATCTTTTGCATGTTAAGTAACTTTTTTCTTTTATTTCATAAAGAAATAATTACCAAGAGGGCTGGAACCCAGGTGTGGAGCTGGTGATGAGGCCAACACCTGTCCTCTGGGAGTGCGAGGAGTCGCATTGGGATTATCACGGGAACCACCTGGAGTTCCATCTGGAAAAAAAATCTTATCTTAGTGTACAACGAATATATTTTAAAAAAAAGTCTACAAAACAGATAACGCACAAAAATATATATATACATAGAGTAATTCTTTAAAAATTAAATAATTGACTGATCGTAGATTTAAATGGAAACTTTATTTATACCGTTTGACGGAGTGCCGGTTGACTGTTGTGGAGTTTCAGGAACCACTAATTGTTGTGAAGATCTAGTTCTACGTGATGGAGTGGCCGCTTCTGAAGATGCACGAGATGAGGGACGTTTTGACGGCGTAGACATGTTACAATGTTTTCAAATTTAGTAGCATTAAAAGTTTTAAAGAATTACGGTGCACTGCACTTTTGGCGCGAATTTTGACAATATGTGTCACTTATCAACGACTTCGTTTATTTTTTTCATTTCATAAATCACACAGATAAATAAACAGACTTCTTAAAATCAATATTTTGGTTGTATAGATGTAACAATTACAAACACTGGGAATCCAAATCGTCGTAAAACTCTACTAGTAGTAAGATGTTTCTTTATGTACCTCACAAGTCACAAGTACGAAAAACGAAGTGGTTATTTACTAGATTTTTTTTTAATTCATAAAATATATTTTTCCAAAGACAAATTCCAAATCACTATTGATCAGTGCTTACATTTTATTGAATTATTTAACATTTTTATTGTAACTTTTATTACTTTCCATGCTTTATTCAACTTTACTGATTTTTAATCTATTCTGTTGACAAAATTTCCATAGACAACGTGTGTTTATTTTTAAATCAATTGATCGTTCATTCACCGCTGTTGTTTTCGTGGTGTTTTATGATGTTAATAAATAAATATACAATTATTGCGAACTAATAACCTAAGTGTCGCGGTAATCTCCAGTAATTAGAATTAGTGCAATATATGTGTAGTAGTCAACATTGAACTTTAGAATTAATCATTATTTAAACGCTAACTTTGTGCAATCTACCTGCATCGTCGGGCATATTTTGTGAATAATTATAGTGACGGGACGTTTATGATTTATAATTTTGTATGGACTCATGAGTAGCAAATACGTTATTATGCGTAATTTGTCTACTTGCGGCTTGCAGTAATTTTACTAAGATATTGATATACTAGGTAAGCGATTTTTTCGTATTATTAGTTATCACAAAATTTACTGTCTCACATACATCCATTATGTTTCGAATACACAAACTACACCCGATACCATTTTAAGCATTTACTTTCTCTCAACATTTCATGCCTTTGTATTTGCTGTCATGATTTGTAATTTTTTGTTGTACAAAAATACAATCGTCTCCTGACGCATCGCAATAATTTCCTTGTATAATATTTACGCGCAGCACTTTATTATTATCGAATTTTATCCAAAATTTAGTTATCCAATTTTATTTCACTTTCTCCACTTGTGACAATTTTATCTGTCTTTTTTTTCTCAAAATATTTTCATATAAAAATGTTTGAACTGTTTTTTTTTATTAATTTATATATTTTCAGTGCTCTTGTTCAGTTAGATTAGAATAAAAGACTATATACGTACAAAAAAACTCTTTTTTTCTGTAAAAATATCAATTATGTTTACATTTTATTTTATCTTTATTTTAAAAGGGTTAGATAGATAATAACTGGCTTATAGCTAGAAGATAAAAGCGTGTTATTAAAAAAAATCTTAATAATTTCTCTAAAGACAATTACAAAGCCTTAACTAATTTACATTACTTCATTGAGTTAGTCTTATGTTGTAATTAAAACGGTAACTTTAAAATTATTCATAGTACAGTTAGATTGTAACTGTAAGTTGTTATTTGCTTTGTTAATTGTAAATGTTTAGAATAATGTTACTGTAATTCCTCTGTTGTACCTGTATTTAAACATGCTGTATATACATTTTTAATATGAATAACAAGAAGTTATATACAGGTGGTTTAAGAATTGAAACACTATAAAAACCTAAAACACAATATATTCACATTCACAACATGTACAGAATATAATTGAGAAATCCTTTTATCAATGGAACTTGGTTCAGTAATTTTGGAGTTTATTCTGTGTTTGAGGAAATGTATTCTTTTCATATTTTTATAGATATTTTTAACAGTAAAAGTCTATAACTAAGGTAAATGGGCTAGCTTAGTTTTAGTAGAGGTCAAGTAAGGTTAAAATAATATGACTGTACTAGTAACATGGATTTCTCTGTAAATTGAGATGCTGATATGTTTTTGCTCAGATTCATATAAGATTATTAAAATGTAGACACTAGATTTAAAAAGAAATGGTTATTGAAAATGTAGGTTATTACAAAAGTTCCTTTGATACGTTCAATGGCCTAAAACTGTGCCAATGTCTATAAGATCCAAATATGACAAGTACATAATTAGTGCTTACATCTGACTCATAAAATGAGCAGTTGTTCTGAGACATTCTTTTTGTTATCAATGTACGGTAAAAATTTGAAACCAACAATTTCTATAAGATAACTAATAATTTTGTTAAGAAATGTTTTCATTATGAAATCTTTAATTATATTTTGTAACAAGACAATGAGTTTGATACTATCAGAAATGCGTTCACAAATATGTCATTAGAATAAGGCTCTGTGAACTTATCTAGACATTTAAATGGAGTTGTATTCCATATAATTGATTTCTATATTTGTATACTGTATTCAATATAAGGTGTGAAGATAACATAGTGTATGTTACATTATTCTAATGTGATTTTATATTTGATTGATTTCATACTAAGCTATCTGACCTACTAAGATGTCATATGGGTCCTACTTTAAATAACTATCCCTCTATGAGATGACATAGCTCATTGTAGATCATTTTTTTATTAAAATTATTATATGTATATTCCATAAGAGAATGGTAGATCAGGGTTGCTCTAGATGAATCTATGTTGACTAGATCTGTGATGAATTTAAGAAAAGAGACATTATGGACTCCTAGAACCAGAGCATGCTTAGATGTAGATGTATGAAAGTGAAAGAGGCGAGAGGGATATGCCAGGACTCTGTTGAATAGAAATTTAACATCTCTGCCTTTCCTACTGGATTACGAGCGAGGCTTATGTTTTTGCGAAAATCTATAGGTGAGAAGTTCAGACCATCGTCAATTGTTACTTATTAGCGGCGTTTTACTGTGAAAATACCACAGTTAAGTTTATTAAAAGTGTTATAAAATCACGGTGCACGGTGTTTTGAATGAAAGTGTTCACTTTGAAGTGGTCGTGCACAAAACAAGATAAAACGAAGGACGTCCTTACGGTTCAGTGACACAGTGCGCTCTGCTCTGGCCCTGGCTCGTCGACGCCGCTCGCTAAACAAAAACGACGCTCTAGACGTACTTTTAAACCTGTATACTAATTTGCAGGCTTCTCTAATGTTTTATTCGTTTTTTTTTTAAACAAAATTGCTTTTATCGATGTCAATGACACGGTAACCGGGTGCATCCTTATTAAAATATTTTTTTTTGCGTCTGGTTTTAAGTTATTTAAAAGCTGATCGCTATAAATTAAAATACTTTATGTGAGTCATTACAGTAGGTAGATTTTAAGGATTTAAATTTGGTTCTGAAGCCCGAATGAATAAGTTATATATTTGAAGCATTCAATAATGTCCCTTCCTAATTCTGTATCGATTTGGCGTAACATTCTCGAAGTATTTAGATTACGTAAAATGTCGAGCAATAGAAAATCCTAGGCCCGTACCCCAGAGTACGCAGGGTATCGACAACAGCGCGCATGCGCGTTACTTACTGCTCGCTCCCCTCGAACAACGTCGTAATTGTTATCGCATTAATTCTAGCTCACGTAAAAATGTACTCAATTATATTTATGCTTTTCTATTTTCATTGGTTTACGTTGATGCTTGATACATATGATTTTTGTATGTATTTGAAAGTGGTTATTTATTATTCCGTACGACTACAAAGAAGGCAGAAAATAATGTACATTGTACATATTATGTGGTATTCGTATTTGTAAAGGTGGTCGCAGGGGAGTACATAATGAAATTGGAAGGAGACCTATGTGTAGACTTAACTTGGGCACACGTTATAGTTAAAGGTCATATAATAGAAACGTAGATTGGTAAGGGAATAACGAAACACCGCTAATGTATAAATGTTAATGTTAAATAAAAATGTTCGTCTACTAAAATCTGTTTCGTTTTACAATTGCCAATGCTATTTTTTGATATCTAAGTTGAAATAATATAATATATATTATTTTACTGTTAAATACGTTTTATATCATTCATTGTTGAATGAATTGTTATTCGTAAAGTCTTTATACAGCTGAGAAAAGTTATATTACAACTAGGTGTCGTCCGCGACTCCGTCTGTGCGGAATTTAGTGAAAATCAGGAGTTGGAATGATGGACGGTCAGAGATTTGTCGTGATCACACTGTTCATGTCGCAGTTGTCACGTATTACTTTAGTCATTGATCTTCGTTGTTTTGAATGAATTTCGCAGTACCCAGAACTTTTTTTTTTTAATAGCAGCATTCATTCATTGTTTTTGTGCAGGAATATTGTCTTTACTCTAGCTATTGTATTAACACAAAAGCTCTTGTTTGCGTATTTTATTTTACAATTGAAATCTGTCAGCGAAACTAGTCGCAAACTAAGTATAGATAGTATTAAATATTAAAGGTAGTTGTAAGCAAATTTTACTATAAAATGTTCCGTTCACTCCCGTGTCATTTCTCATCATTTCATCATTCATCATTTCTCTCCATATAGGGTCAGCACAACAGATTTTTGTCTTCCATATCGATTTATCATTCGTCAAATTTAGTTCATTTGTCAAATGATAATTGTAAAATGGAAAAAGTTGATTTTGGCAAATATGTTTTAAATAATTACAAAGGGAGGATGTAATAGTTTGCAAGGTTCTTGTATTGAGTAGCAATTCACAAGTTTTCGAATGATCATAACCCTCTTTCAATATAACCAGATGGCTTGATCATTACCGCGTTATATAAATCTAATTAGACTAAAAAACTGTCTAGAATTTGTTGTCCATCTTGTTTAGCTAAACGTGTAATACGTATGTGAACACATGTGACTAGCCAATTGCCACAAACTCTTTATAAATAACCCTAGTGCGTACGCGGCTTTATTACCCGAGGAAAGTTTTGTATGTGTAAAGTGTAATTATAATTTCGCGTCGGTTCTTTGTTAGCTGCGGTCCGCGAACTTTTCTTTGTTTGCTGTATATGTTAAAATTGAATACTGCGTTTTAAAATCTTTTAACCTAATTTCACATTGCTTTTGAATTACTCTGTTGGTACCGTTAAATTGTTTATTACTAGAAAACTCCGTAAGCCTTTCTGCCATTTCGAAACAATCGATCAGTTAACAGTTTCAATACTGTGTAAAT